TTCACACGCAGAAGAAGGCAATGGCAAACCACTTCTGGATCATCTGCCAAGAACGTATATGAACAGGTCCCAGTCCGAGAAAAGGATGGAAGGATCCTGTTCATATGGACCTGTCCTCACACAGAACACTACAAATAAAAAAAATCACAGACTAACCTAACCAAACGACGCTGTTGAACCTGTAACACATACGATATGATTTTCACGCTGTTTGAATACAGAAATTACTGTTCCTTAAATTACTGTGCAATTCAGCCGAAATAACTTGGAACTGCGTGTAACAGTTACGGAATGGGTCGATTCCACTTCACTCGCGTCGTCCAGCCACGAACACCTGTTACCACTCTCAGCGTCTGTCGCCCAAAACTGGTCCTCGCGCACGTCGACTAATAAATACATCCACAAATCTGAACGAAACTTTCCTCACTTGTTCTGATTTCTCTTCGTATTTTACGAACTAAACGTACGCACAGTTGCATTTCAAATCACATTCTGCCTGTAAACTCAATTTACTTCTAAAACTATCAAAAGTACACTATAATCCTTTACCCTACGACGTCACGGCCGAACTTTCAGAAACTGAGTGTTCCGTGCAGAGAGAGATTTGAGGAACGTTTGTAACAAAGGGAGTCACAAACTTTCGTTTTCTATGCAGAGCGAATGCAGGGCATTTGGACGAGAATGAAGATAACACGTGGTTCCGAAACATCGTGACAAAATGAATAAATTATTATCTTATTCTCTCTGTGGCGCTGTGTGAGCTCCTGACGTTGTGTAAGGCCGACGAAATGGACAAAGAACTGCCTCATTCCGAAATTCAAATGTTCGCTGAAACACTGACTGTTTTCACGAATCTCAAAGCATTCGCTTAAAAGAATGCAATTCGATATCAGCAAATTTCCTGTCCAAGGGGGGGACGGGGTGGCGAAAATTCAATTTTGTCGCCACAATGTGAGCTGAACAGATGGCCGGGACCTTCCTTATTGAAAACCATAAACTATCATTGTTTTTTTTTATTCCAAATAAATGGCGGTGGATAATGTCGTATGAGACAATAATAATAGTTCATATGAAGTCTGAAGATTGGTAGGAGCAATGTCGTACAACTTCATCGCAGACAACCATCTGCAGTGTTGCCAACAAACATCTTTGCCACGTCCGTCCGTTTCTCGAATGTGACGAGACTCAAGAACTACTCAACAGATTTCCATGAAATCTGACAGACCGGAGTTCTGTTCTAATCTGTGGCACATTCCCACGACTGTTCACATCGGACAGGAGTAGCCGACACGCGTTCCTGGGGTTGCTAATGATCCCGTACGGTTATCCCCCGTCATTACGTCATCACGGAGTCCGACAGGCGCCGGACGCCCGCGTGTGCAAACGTCGGGGGGCTCAAGGAACTTGGAGCCAACCACACAGTTCAGAGGTTGACGGTAGAACCGCGAGAACATAACTTAATGACATATTTTATATTTATTATATATTTATATATTTAATTAATAGGAAGATAAGTTTTGAAATATGACGACAATATGCGAACACACGTCATAATTTATAGATTACAAAATATTATGTATGTAAATAGTCGCGACAATTAGACATTAATTAACATGGGGTTATTACGGAGGTTAGACCGCCACGGTGGTCTAGTGGTTAGAACGCTGGCCTTGTAATCCTGGGGTCTCGGGTTCGATTCCCGGCGGTGCCCGAATTTATAACTTGTGTTAGGCAAGGCCGTGGTCTAGGCAACACGGAGTTTTCCTCCGTGGCATCCCAACAATTACTCCATTCACACACAGAAGAAGGCAATGGCAAACCACTTCTGGATCACCTGCCAAGAACGTATATGAAGAGAAAAATAATCAAACTTTCATGAGAAAAATCCATTACACTGAAATGTTTTATTAAACAACTTCATGACAGTCTCAAAGGATTCTACGTCCGTGCACGCACACACGCATGCACGCTACAAGAAACAATTAATTCTAGAACAAAACGTGTTTCAAGGACGTACTTCCAAACCATGCACAGCTAAAAGCGTATTTAACTGAAGATGAATCATCTGAAAGCTTAACAGAGAAATATGTCTCGTTGCTTGTAAGTGTTCTTGTGCACCACATAAGAAAAACTTCCCTGATTATGAAATAAAATATGACAAGATTAATAGTAAAACGTACTAATTTTACAACAATTCATCCAAGCAAGAATCAAAACACAATAAGAAGTTTAACATTGCTACTTTTTATTCAGAATTCCCATAAATTGTCTTTATCGTAATTCAATAAATGCCCATTGAGGTAGAAAATGAGTCCATCTTAATGCGGTTCGCATAGACCAAGTTTTGTATGACGAGCCATTGTTGAAAAAATCCAATTCAATTTTGTCTTCGTATAAACTGGACGTAGACCAAGTTTTGTATGACGAGCCATTGTTGAAAAAAAAATCCACTTCAATTTTGTCTTCGTATAAACTGGACGTAGACCAAGTTTTGTATGACGAGCCATTGTTGAAAAAAAATCCACTTCAATTTTGTCTTCGTATAAACTGGACGTAGACCAAGTTTTGTATGACGAGCCATTGTTGAAAAAAAATCCACTTCAATTTTGTCTTCGTATAAACTGGA